AAACAACTGACCCCAGGGCGAGTCATTAAAATGACAAAACTGTTTCTTTTTTCTCTCTCTCAATGGAAAGTAGTACAGTAGTCTCACTGGAAACACCCAGTTTCACCATTAAAACAAGCCATCAATACTGTACAGATGGCCCATAATCATACACACCCTAATAGGAAAGTCTTCTCAGTTCATATTGATAAAGATAACTATTACCACTTAAAGGTGAAGTGTATTTAGTGGTCACTAGTGGCAGGAAAAAAATTCAAACAGGTTTCACAAAAAAATTTTGGTTGAGAGTTTTGTTCGTGCCAGTTTTCTAGACATGCAGAGCAGAATAATGTCTTCTCATTTGTTTCTGAGTTTTATATGTAAAATTATCTGTATTTATTACTTTGTCCACACCAGTCTATCATTGTGGTATCAATATAAACACACCCAACAACTGGTCATTTGTTGTTTTGTCAGTCAGATAGAAATGCAGTCATTTCAATAGGAATCCACATGACTGGAAATTATGCATTAAGGTAAAAAATTTCCCTATGCAGATTTCAGCTTGGCTTCAAGATGGTTAAGCAAATTGGCAGTGCTGACCAACAGAAAGCTGACCAGTTTACTTCTTAGCTTACTTCTGTGTAAACTGTACTTCATATACTGCTACATTATCGACAAAGGACCTTTTTTGCCCACAAATGCCCAAAAAGCTTTATTGGAAAGAAGTTGCAAAGTGGATTAGCCTTATGTTAAACAGCAAAAAATCAGGCTACATGAGAATAGTGAACATTAAACTCTTGACTTTTAAACATATTTTTTATACATAAGTGAATAACAAATTGCACCTAAGCAGTTAATAAAGACATACACTGCTGTGGCCTACAGACAAAAGGCACATTTGTCGGTGGATTAGATTCACTGATGCTCCAAGCATGTAGAATTTAACGCTGGTGGTCCCACAGAGCAGTGCGACTGAAATTGAGTCATCTCTCGGAGGATGTAACAGTCTTTCTTCAGCTCGCTCGTCAATTGAGCTGTTGAATATGTTGCGAGCCGCTCGCATACACACACACACACTCAAACGCAGCGTTTACACAAAAAAATCAGTGTGTATGTGTGCGTGAGGTGTGACTAACCCACAGTACCACAGATTAGCATTCTAACAATGTGACTTCGGCTGCCATATGTGAGCATGACAAAAGCCACGCCTCCCCCTGCCAATCAAGGTCTCTAAATCGCCACAACAACACCCTTTCGGAACCTCCCCCTTCTGATGACTCAATAGAGAGTTGACCTTTGACCTTAGAACCCTGCCAGTCAGGCACAGAAATTTGTGTCTGTTTGTATGTGTGTGTTTGTGCTGTGGGAAAGTCAACTGTCTAAACAAAGCCATGCATCGTTTCAAACAATGAGAGTACTGCATGTGACTCATTTTCTTGCATTTAAAACTCATTCGGCAATCTTACCGCATTTAGTCAGCAATTAACGTGCCCTGACCGTCAGCCAGAGAGTTAGTCGAACTTACAACCGGCTCCAGTGCCAACAGAAACATAAGCACAGCATTATTGTTCCCCTTGCAATGCAAAAAAGAGCTTTAAGATGGAATACGCTGATCTCTCAGGGAACTCCTCATGTTTAATTTCGCATAACGCTCTGCATTTTAACACATCGTTGAGTGCGTTATCAAGCCATCAGGCCTGTCATATCCACACACACAATGGGGTCACACATCCTTATGCACGCCGTGACTTTTAGCCTTGGTCTTAATAGAGACAGAAGACATTTAGGGTGAGCTGTCAAGCTCCTGTGTATGTGTGTGTTAAATAAAGCTATTATGATGCTGTCAGAGATCTTTATGCCAACAGTGACTGTGCTGATGCAGAGGACAGGCCTGGTATAAAGGATGACCGTGGGTCAGTGCGGACCCCTGGTCTCCTTCTCCTCTGAAGAGTGAGTGGGGCAGCACAGCTAATGGCTGTCTCCCTGCGCGACGCCACCGAGGCGGTTAGCTTAGCCTAAAACAGATGTCTGCCTCCTCTCTCACTCCTCTGAGAGGAAAAAGAGAGTGAGAGACCCCTAATTCTCCAGTTGCAGAGTCTATAGTGAGATGCTAACATGGGTGGGATTGGGGTCGAGGGAGGTGATCTAAGAGTCACATGAGACTTAATATGTGGTTTAATTTAAGCTGCACTTGGACACATTTCAAAAAATGCCTTCAATATTTATGATGGACCATTCTAACAAGCAAAAGCTAAAAATGTTTTCATAATAACATTTTCAAGAAAAAAAATCAAGAATTGCAATGAAAAAATTAATCTATAATCTAAATGTTTAAATCATTGTCATCGTAACAAATCACAATTAGCGTAATATTAATAAAAAGGCATACTAAAAGTTTTTTGAAAAAACAATGTTTGAATTATCCTCTTAAAAGTGGTTCATTCATGCATTCTTCTGATGTGCCATTATAGATGACTGTACCTTAAGGATGTTGACGTAGGGGGCGCCTTTGGGCCCATACTGACTTCCATTCACCTCGATGTGTTTGAGCCACTGGATGTGTGGCTGAGCATCACTATACACCTTACAGTGGAACTCGACATCACTGCCCACCACCACCGTCTGATTGGCCGGGAGTCCCGCCTGTAGGATGGGCCGGTGAGGAGAGCGCTCTGATTGAACGAGAGATGGAGAGACGGAGGGCACTCAGCAATGAAGCTAAGTGATTTAAAGTTTGAATGTGTGTGGGTTGCGTGTTCATACCCAGCACGTCGAGTTGGTAAGTGTGTTTGATTATCCCGTATTTGTTTTGCACCACACATGTGTAGTTTCCCCGGTCAGATGGAACGGCACTCTCCATGACCAAACTCCACTGCTGATGCCTCAACTAGAGAGAGAGGATGATAGAGACAGAGTTTTACTCATAAAGTATTACATAAGAGGTCCACTTGAATCCTTCCTCAGGTTTTTCTGTTAGCTGAAGAAGAGCAGGTGCTAAATTCTGTGTCTGTATAATGTCATGACTATGATCCACTGTGCTGATAAATCAGAATTGAAGTTGAATTAAGGTTCCAAACAGGACAATTGGAATGTAAGCAAACAGAATTTAAATGAATTGAAATCCATATACTGGGATTTTTAACTAGAAGAGCAAAGTTTGTCAAGACTATCTTTGAATGTTTGCTATACACTGGTTTGTTTAAAAGAGAGACATGCAGACAGACAGACAGACAGATAGACAGACAGATAGACAGATAGATAGATAGACACACACACACACACACATAACCATCCATTCATTCATAGAGCACACTCTAATTGCATATATGTCTCTCCCTCTGCTTCTTTCTGTGTCTCTCTCTTATTCCTCCTCGACGTACTTCGAAGGTCTGCGTGGAAAAAAAAATTAACTGTGCAAATATTATGGGCTGTGTTTTTGAACAGTTGCATGGTAACACTGCCTGAGCGGGCAACATGCACATAGACAAACACACATGCCTAAGAAAGTTGGCAAGGGTGCCTGTGCCCCCTGCACTTCTCCTTCCCCTTGTCTTCGAGATCCTCACCTTGTCACAGGCTGCTCTCGCTGGCTCGCTCTCACTCAGTGAGGCTTCTGTGTTTGCTGATTTACACGGTGAACAGCATGAGAAATGTGTGTGAGTGAATGTCTGTATGGGAGTAGTTGACAATTAATGTGTCCATTGACTTTTTAAAATCAAGATTTTAGGTTCAAATTAATGTAAATGTGTGAGGGAAATTGTATTGTATTGCCCTGTAACTAGTGATCATTTCTTTTAAACACCTTTATGCTAAGTAGTTCATTCTAAATAATCCTGAGACTTATTATTTTTTAAAAGTAGAAATATTTAATGTAGTCTCTCAACCAATAAGGTGTCATAGAGACTACATACAAATAAATAAATAAATAAATAAAACTAGCCAAATGCTTTTCAGAATAGTTTTAGAAGAATTATATTATTTTTAAAATTATATTAATTTTAATTTGTATTTATTTTTATCTTTTAAATTATATTATTATAATTATTTTTTTGTTGTTGGTTTAGCAACTTTAGACTAAAGGAAATAAATATTACTCTGAGCTATACATCAACTCAGCTCAGCTCCCCTTTCAGTGAAATCCTAGATTCGCCTTATTAACTTCCCAAAATTATTAATGTCAACTACCCATGTAAGAGAGCGAGAGTTAATTTAGGACCCTATCTTACTTGACACTGAGATTTAGTGTGTGTGTGTGTGACATTTATCTCAGTGTATCTGCTGAAAAAGAAATGCTGTGACGAATTCTCAGCTGTTCCTCAATCTACCCGAGCACTTTATCCAGAGGGAATGGGAGAAGAGAGTTAGTACATTTATCCCATCCTTCATCAAAAGATAAGAGCTGAAAAGTGTTGCAATGTCGTGCTGGACCCCAATGATTCAGAGAAAAAACAGCACAAGAAAGACCCAAGCAGAGGTCTGATAATCAGTCGAAAAGCGCTGCTCAAATTCCTCCCGGCATTACGCTGTTAACATATTAAGCCTCTTTAACTCTGATGTCAGACTGGGGTTAGGAGTTAAGACCAGTGCGGTGGATATTCATTCTGTTCAACTGAATTGTGAAGTGCAGAGAATATTGGGAGTTTATGGACTCAGGAGGTGCTAAGAAGCTCAGGTCTCTCTTGAGTATGTGTGTGTTTGTACGTGTATGTTCAGGATTTATGGTTGTGTCAAAACGGTGTGAGCTCGTTCCAATAGTGGTGCTGTTTAATTTGACCCACAGAGACAGGAAGCAAAAACAACTGACCCCAGGGCGAGTCATTAAAATGACAAAACTGTTTCTTTTTTCTCTCTCTCAATGGAAAGTAGTACAGTAGTCTCACTGGAAACACCCAGTTTCACCATTAAAACAAGCCATCAATACTGTACAGATGGCCCATAATCATACACACCCTAATAGGAAAGTCTTCTCAGTTCATATTGATAAAGATAACTATTACCACTTAAAGGTGAAGTGTATTTAGTGGTCACTAGTGGCAGGAAAAAAATTCAAACAGGTTTCACAAAAAAATTTTGGTTGAGAGTTTTGTTCGTGCCAGTTTTCTAGACATGCAGAGCAGAATAATGTCTTCTCATTTGTTTCTGAGTTTTATATGTAAAATTATCTGTATTTATTACTTTGTCCACACCAGTCTATCATTGTGGTATCAATATAAACACACCCAACAACTGGTCATTTGTTGTTTTGTCAGTCAGATAGAAATGCAGTCATTTCAATAGGAATCCACATGACTGGAAATTATGCATTAAGGTAAAAAATTTCCCTATGCAGATTTCAGCTTGGCTTCAAGATGGTTAAGCAAATTGGCAGTGCTGACCAACAGAAAGCTGACCAGTTTACTTCTTAGCTTACTTCTGTGTAAACTGTACTTCATATACTGCTACATTATCGACAAAGGACCTTTTTTGCCCACAAATGCCCAAAAAGCTTTATTGGAAAGAAGTTGCAAAGTGGATTAGCCTTATGTTAAACAGCAAAAAATCAGGCTACATGAGAATAGTGAACATTAAACTCTTGACTTTTAAACATATTTTTTATACATAAGTGAATAACAAATTGCACCTAAGCAGTTAATAAAGACATACACTGCTGTGGCCTACAGACAAAAGGCACATTTGTCGGTGGATTAGATTCACTGATGCTCCAAGCATGTAGAATTTAACGCTGGTGGTCCCACAGAGCAGTGCGACTGAAATTGAGTCATCTCTCGGAGGATGTAACAGTCTTTCTTCAGCTCGCTCGTCAATTGAGCTGTTGAATATGTTGCGAGCCGCTCGCATACACACACACACACTCAAATGCAGCGTTTACACAAAAAAAACAGTGTGTATGTGTGCGTGAGGTGTGACTAACCCACAGTACCACAGATTAGCATTCTAACAATGTGACTTCGGCTGCCATATGTGAGCATGACAAAAGCCACGCCTCCCCCTGCCAATCAAGGTCTCTAAATCGCCACAACAACACCCTTTGGGAACCTCCCCCTTCTGATGACTCAATAGAGAGTTGACCTTTGACCTTAGAACCCTGCCAGTCAGGCACAGAAATTTGTGTCTGTTTGTATGTGTGTGTTTGTGGGAAAGTCAACTGTCTAAACAAAGCCATGCATCGTTTCAAACAATGAGAGTACGGCATGTGACTCATTTTCTTGCATTTAAAACTCATTCGGCAATCTTACCGCATTTAGTCAGCAATTAACGTGCCCTGACCGTCAGCCAGAGAGTTAGTCGAACTTACAACCGGCTCCAGTGCCAACAGAAACATAAGCACAGCATTATTGTTCCCCTTGCAATGCAAAAAAGAGCTTTAAGATGGAATACGCTGATCTCTCAGGGAACTCCTCATGTTTAATTTCGCATAACGCTCTGCATTTTAACACATCGTTGAGTGCGTTATCAAGCCATCAGGCCTGTCATATCCACACACACAAGGGGGTCACACATCCTTTTGCATAAATATAAGAGCAGTGACTTTTAGCCTGGGTCTTAATAGAGACAGAAGACATTCAGGGTGAGCTGTCAAGCTCCTGTGTATGTGTGTGTTAAATAAAGCTATTATGATGCTGTCAGAGATCTTTATGCCAACAGTGACTGTGCTGATGCGGAGGACAGGCCTGGTATAAAGGATGACCGTGGGTCAGTGCGGACCCCTGGTCTGTGTATACGTGTGTGTTTGTAAGGGCGGGCCGGTCACACTATGGCCATGGAGAGGTGGAGAGGTCAATGTTTTGTTTCTAAATGTCTCTCTTAGAGGACTCTGGTTATATTCTATGCATACAGGTCAATGCAATGCAATGCAATGCTGTGTTAAAGAATCTAAATGTGCAAATGTGTGTGTGCAAAAAGAAGTCACTCAGAAGATTCCAGTTGTGCTTTAAGTGTTGAATTTGTGTCAGGCGTTTCTCCTAAAATTCTGTTTAATTTAGAAACAAATTGTTGACATACAATGGGAGTATAGAGGTATAAAATAAATGTGGATAGCAAAGCTTAGAATATTTGGTCTGGGAAGAACTTAATGAGTAATACTTTAGATTGAGCTCTTTTGATTTCAGACTTTCATATCTTTGCAAATCTGAGCACAGTTTGAGATCTCATCTGAAGAGGGGATGTCTGAAATTACTGGTGTCTTTTAATCAGGAGAAAATTCTATAAAAGTCTTCAGTGAAAGTCTCAATTTGTTTTCAATTTCATCTCAAGGCTATCTAGGAGAAACAACTGAGATATTAAAGACTAGGTGTAATTCATGATTTTTCCTTTCCAATAGGGAAAATGTGTGCCTCTTCAGGAAAATTGTGTTTAATAATGCTATTATTTAGGCCTATTATTTATTTTTTTTATATAGTATTTAAAGGGGTAATTCACTGAAAAATCTAAATTCACAGAAAAGTCATGAACTCATGCTCATGTAGCTGCAAACCTGTATGACCTACTTTCTTCTGTGAAACATAAAAGAACCAAAAAGACAAACAAACAAACAAAAAACAAAACAATCAAAACAAATAATTGTCTTTTTTGCTCCTGAGAAGAAAAAAGTCATACATGTTTGAAAGGAGAGTAAATGATGACAACAGTTTTATTTTTGGGTGAACTATCCCTTATATTGTGGTGGTTAAATCATTGAGTATTAAGGAGCAACAGCCCTGAGAGATGAAAAAAATGGCAATAATAAATAAAAATAATCTAAAAAAATCAGTGGACCGTCTCCAAAACACGTTACAAACAACACCCGCACAAACGCATCAACACATAAATAGCAAGACCACACAGAACTTTGTGTTCTTCTGTTCTTTCAGAGAAACAGCAACAGGTGGACGTATCCTCTAGAGATGACGAGCAAATAAAATCCAGAGCGAGAGAGAGCGCTCTTTAAGGAGCAGATGTTGAGGATCTGTGTAAATTGTTACTAATTGCAGATTCTTATTATCTGTAATCCTAAACACACAATCACTCGCACATGTTCTTAATCGGTATTCATATTATCTTACTTTAATCCCGCCCATTCTCTGCTCTCCCTTGAAGTCCTTCCCATTTTTCAGCCAATGGATGGTGGGAGCGGGGTTGCCGGCAGCAGGACAGCGGAACTTCACTGTATTGGCGGCGGGAACAGCCAACAGTTTCTTCTCCATCCGGTCAGGACGGGTCCAGTATGGAGCTTTTGTTAGAAATATAAGAATAAAATCAGATGCTGCTGAAAATATCAACTAAACATGACATTTTAAAAGTACAAAAAAACATGTCAGTGTACAATACATGAATCCATTGGCACAAATGGACCACATATAAGTGTATGTTGACATGAAGCACTATTTTTTAGGGGTTAGGGTGTTCCCTCTTTGGGAGTCTTCGTGTGGGTGAATGTTTATGGAAAGATTTTTCTTGCTCGCTCTGTGGCAGCGTCAGACTGGCTGCCTAATTCCCAGACTGAATTAAAATTTGTTTGGAAAAGCAAACAAGCTTACATACACTCTTACGTGAGTGTGAGGCACGTTTATGCTCTTGCAGACAGAACTCTGAAAGATTCCCAGAGTTAAATCCTTCACAGAGCCGTGAACACACAATGCGGATTCCTAATAATAACTTATTATAATAACAGAGCAATTTTCCTTCATTTAATCTTCCCACAAATTCAGTTTATAATGTTGACTGTCATGTGGTCAGGTCTGTGTTTACGCTTCCTAGCAGCTAATGCCAAATATCATAGCATAAATACTTACAGTAACATCCTTTAGCTAAAATAATAGTCATTATTTTTATTTTCAGTTCAAGTCTTGAACATTGTGTGTGTATGTGTCTTTAAGAGATTGAGTAAACATACTTTCATCCCTCCTCAAACAATTAACTCCAGATCAGATCAACCCGCAAACTTGGCGATTAAACCCACAGACGCCACATTTCGCTCCAGACATACATGCGAGCTCACAAGCACACGTGTGAATGTGCGCACACACAATAAACCCATTAACTAGACTGAATATAATTCTCTCTCGGGTTATTTGCTCATGCTATCAGATTGTGAATGTAAAGGGTGATTGGCAGGCTGGCATTTCCTTTGGCATAACTGATACACTAATTCCTGTACACACACACACACACACACACACACACACACACACACACATACACACACACACACACACTCTTCTAATTTTCACTGCATTCTCAGATGGTCAGTGATCCATCAGGACCACAATATGGGTCTGTACCATACAGTGGACCTGGCTCCTATATGTGTGTTTGTGTGTGTGTGTGTGTGTGTGGTTCCATTCTCCATTTTATAGAGTTCAGTACAGACAATTTGAGCTTTGAAGTGGGAACCGCAAATCTACAGTGACCCACCTTTTTTTTCTATTTATTTTTATTCTACCGCCAAAAAAGCCATCAAAGTACAGCGCAACTCTACACAGCTGATATTACGCACAGCTTGCTTCAGTCAGCCAAACTGAGAGCAGTAACTAGCACTGCATCATTAAGATATTACAGAATGATGTCATCAGATGTCACACGACCTCAGCTCTTCTCAAATGTTCCAGAGAGCCCAGACCTCACAGCTCTCAGCTCTCGCTCTCGCTCTCTCTCTCTTTCTTAATTAGAGCTGGATTACTGGTCATTAAACTCTAAAGGGGTTTTGGTTTTTGCCTAATCCCTCATTTCATGCCCTCCCCTCAACCC